TGTGTGTGTGTGTGTGTGTGTGTATCTGTTTACACTGTCACATTACTGGGGCTTGTCTGTCTTGACATAAGAAGTCCCCATCATTGGATTTTAAGTTTAAGACGTGTTTAAGGTTTAGGTTTAGGTTTAGGTTAGGGTTAGGGTTAGGTTATGTTTAGGTTTAGGTTAGGTCAAGGTGTAGGTTAAGTTTAAGTAAGGTTTAGATTAGGTTTACATTAAGGTTAGGTTAAGGTTAGGTTAATGATAAAGTGTGTGTGTGTGTGTGTGTCAAGGTGGGGTTTAACCCTTACAAGGACAGAGCATTGGCTCAGGAATCATGACAGGGTCATTAGATATGTTAATAGTGTCTGATGAGGCCAGAGACCACATCGACATTGTTTGGGTGTGTATGTGTGTGTGCGCCTGGATGTGTGTGCTGGCAACTGGGACCTAAATTAATTGAAGGGTATCACTTGCCTCCTGTTGCTGTATTGTTCCCATAGTGACAGCTGATTGTCTTGAAGACACCTCACCTCCCAGGGGAATATCCTAAGTGTGAGTTTGTATGCTTGTGTGTGTGTGTGTGTGTGTGTGTCTGTGTGTGTGTGTGTGTGTGTGTGTGTGTGTGTGTGTGTTGTCACTGACCTTTCTAATAATGTTAATTCTCCATTGCACTGATCCACTGTCATTCATATGAGCCTCATCACCATCAATTATACTGCAAACAGGCAGAGTGTAGGCCAGGACAAATTTAAATACGCTGAGGGACTCCAGTTAAATGACGCCATGAGGATTCAATGCTCTCTCTCTCTCTCTCTCTCTCTCTCTGACCCTTGGCCCTTAGAGAGGACTGAGTTTTAGCTTCAAAGACCATGATTCATGTCCAGAGCCAAACATATAGACACACACACAATAGAAACTCACACACAGCGCGTGAATCTAGCAGCAGTGTTTGGTTTGTGTGTGATTCCCTACAGAGCTCCACCTTCCCATGACAGGACTGCAGGACCAGACAGAGGAGGAGCAGCCGTCCACTGTCAAGGTCAGTGAAAGCCCCAACCTTTCCCTTATAGTTCTGGTCTGGCACTGGCCTTTTCACTGTGTCTGCAGGATCCATCCCACATGTAGACACACGTGTGCATTGACTTTAACTGTGTCCATTTACCAGAAAACAGCCTTCACCACATTGTTAACACAAAAAGAAAATAATAAACATGTTCTAAACAGTTCATGATGTGTTCAGTGGATTCATCGGGCTCCTATCAGATGACGTCAGCAAGGCTCCTGCCAGTGCAGAACACAACATGAAACATCAATTACAAGCATGACTGATCCTGTTGTGCAATTAAATTCTGCATTTTACAAAAATACAACCAAATGCTTCCTGTTTACAAAGGCACACACATGCACAGTTTGTGTGATTGATCATGTGATATGTTTCGAGGCATGTTAGTATGGATGGAGATTAAAAGTGGAGCCAAAACGTGGAAAAACATATGGATGTAGTGACCATCACAGAAAAAAGCCTGGAAATGCTCATTTTAATGTTATGCAGTTACTAAAGTAGATTATGTTTGAACATCTGCGAGTTACAATTACACCCAGCCATTTTATATCTTTTTTATTTGCCTCTATAAGATACTATTTATGGCATTACAAATGAAAATACATGTTTAATCTGCCAAACAATATTAAACATTCTTGCTTCTATAACATTTTTACAGATTGAAACACACTGAATAACAATTGTATTTAGTTTGGAATAAAGAAGGAAAGACAAAAGGATAGAAAAGATCTCTGTGGTTTTGCAGTGACCACACGTCTGGCAATGAAGCAGCAGTGTGTTGAAGCGGAAAAACAGAAATGGCATTCATTTACCCAAGAGGATACTTGGTTTTCCCATTTTGGCCATTTTACATTCAAGCTAATTTTATTCAGATTTATATTGTCTATAAAACATAAATTGCATTGGACTCCAGCAGTTTTGAATTGGAGCCTTGCACCGTGCGCTGATGTAAAAAAGCCCATATTTACCAGCAATCCCATTTCACTTGCACCGTCTTCAAAAAGAGGTTCACTCTCTCAGGCCAAGAATACTAAACCAAGAAATCTATTTCAAGTGCAGTTCCTCTTTCCATATTGACTGCAGCTACTTGAATGCAAACACCATACGACTTGGAGTTTAAAATACTTTCATTTTTTCACAGCTTGTTCAGAATGGGTGTGAATGTTGCAAGATTTCCATGAATCCACTTCAAAGTCTGTTATTGTCATTATCACTTTAAAAGGAAAAAAGTGGGAAATTTGTGTCACACCACATAAAAGGTGGCTGTCAAGGAGGATGTATGCAAATGTTCTTTGTGTGTGTGTGTGTGTGTGTGTGTGTGTGGGTGGGTGTGTTGTGCGTACGCTAGATGTGTCTGTGCTATCTTTGTCAAAACCTCACGACTCTGCTCTCTTCATGATCCCTGTCTGGTTGTATGCCTCTGCCAACCAGCGCAGTTTCAGACTGCGTGAATTTATTTTCTAGATTCAAATGAGGTCATTTCTGACTTTGACCTTTGAACATCAAAATGTAATCATCTATCTACCATTTAACTCTAAGTCCAAGGGAAAGCTTGCAACAAATTTAAAGAAATTCTCTCTAGGAGTTGCTGATCACAAGGCAAACCATGTGTTTTGTGAGACAGTGACCTTGACCTTTGGCCACCAGATTCTAATCAGTTCATGTCTAAATGAACATTTGTACCAAATTTGGAGGAATTCCCTTGAGGCCTTCTTGAGGTATTGCATTCACAACAGTGGAACATACGGACAGAGGGACAACCCAAAAAGATAAAGCCTGCGGCCACTGTTTGTGGGAGGCATAAAAGTGCAGCGTCAACAAGCTGATAGAAAGAAATTTCCTTAGTTACCACTGGAAATACACAAAACAACAACAACAACAACATCCCCCCTTATTTATTGTGATATTCTTCTTCTTGTATATTGTGCAGAATCCCTCCAACAGCAACGTGCAAGATAAAACCAGCGGCTACGACATTGGCGAGCTAGCCACTTCCTCTTTGATTGGTGAGACTGGACGCGCACACACAAACACACACACACACACACACACACACACACACACACACACACAC